ATTCTTCTTGGTGCAACCGCAAAGTTCAGTCCCCTGGCAAAGGTCACTGTCTCCAGCTGGGTGAGTTGTCTGTCGGGCAAATTCTTCACCCACTTTTCTGTCTCCCTGGCATGTGACTGACTATCAGTATGGTGCCTTCCATTGAGTGTGTTCTGTTATTAGGATTGGGATGGGCTTGATAAGTTTCCAGTAAATTAATCTTCTTTTGTTGTCGGGACTTGGACTTGACACGCTGTGATGCATTCTCCGTGAAATCCATCACCTCCTGAAATGTGATCTGACCTAGGCGTGTTGTTTTTGTTGGATGCGCTCTTCTTTGGCTTCTAAAGCCTCAATAGTAAAATTGGTCTGTCTCACTCGTCTGTGCCTTCTGTAGGAAATTGCTTGCCCGTTGTCTGTTGATAGAAGATTTGAGTTCCAGGCTCTTGGGGAAAGGTGCCACTTTGCACCAGAGGTTGAATCTCACGTGGTTCCTGTATTCTGTCCTCTTTCTTGCTGTTTGCTCAAACTCTCAAAACTAGTTTGACGCAATCCTGGCCAAAGTGGTTCAAAATATCCTGATGCATGCTCAATAATCCAGGTAGATGAATCTTACAAGGTTAAGTCAGGTCAGACGTATCTACTTGGACTATTGAGCATGCACCAGGATACTTGTAAATTACATCATACTTGATCTTGTGTGATCTGTTAGGGTTAGGGCGGCTGTGGCTGAGTGGTTAGAGCAGTCGTCCTCCAATGCAAGAGTTTGGGGTTTGAATCCAACAGCAGTTACATGCCAAGGTGTCCTTGGGCAAGACACTGAACCTCTCATTGCCTCCGATGTGTGTCCCATCAGTGTATGAATGTGATAAAGCTCTGATTATTCTCTTTAGAATGATTTTTTTTTCAATTAGCTTTATAGAGATCTAGTAGAGTGCTGTATGAATGGATAAATGAGGCACAGATTGTTGTGTAAAGAACTTTGGGTGTCTTGATAAGATTGAAAGGTGCTATATAAGTACAGTCCATAAGTGTTCACAGTATGAGTTTAGGCTGACTTTCAGCTACTACTGCAGCAAGTTTTAGTTTGATATCTGTACAATTAACGTGAGTTATAGCCATTTTTGTGTTTGGTAGCATAGAAGTTAATCAGCTGTAGATGTACTTCCAGTAATTTTTCTTCTTCTTAAAGTTTTAGTAAATCTCTCAAGTGGTTTGTGTGATATTTTGCTAACAGACAGATGGGGCCAACACCAACAGTTAAAGTTAAATATAATCAAAGCAGCCCTGCAATAAGTGGCACTTGAGTCTTTGTTGTGAATCAATTGCAGTTGCTACCAAACCAAAGTTTAGCTCAACGTTTTAAAAGCTAACCGAGTTAGAGCCATTTTTGTGTTTTCTACATTCAGTTCCCTTTGGTGGCCATCTTGAATTGGGTGGACTCCAAAAGGTAATCGGCTGTCGAGATACATCCACTGATTAATTTCTGAGAGTTTCACTAAACCCATGTAGTGGTTCATGAGATATTTTGCTAACAGCCAGACTAACAAACACACACACAGGCAGTTACATTATCATGGTGGTGGGCGACAGCCCGGAGGGTTTGATAACCGGAGTGAACTGTGTGTAGTCAAACCTAGATGTTTTTATACAAGTGTAGAAATGATCAGGACAATGAACTAAAATAAATTGGTGCTACAGAAATTCTTCTGACAAAGTGGAGGGAGCAATTAAGGAAACTCAACCGGGGACATTTCCTGCTGGTGTGCTGAAACACGTTCAAATCTGGGGTAAGAAGAAAGTAAACTCCAGACTGACATATTTACAGAAGATAACGCGGCGAACACTTTACTTCCTGTTAAGGAACCGTTCAAGAATGTTCACAAATAAAATGAAGCAGGGAGGAAGATAAGCTCACGTTGCGGCTGGTGGAGCAGCGGGGAAATCTAACTACCAACAAGCAGCACGCCGACGTCCCCCGTCCCTGAAGGATTTGAACAGTTTTTGAGAGGAGTGTTTTTCTGAACTTAAACCGAACAACAAATCCAAGTAAACCTTAATGTTTTTGGTGCGACGCGTTCAAGTGAGGAGGAGTTACTGTGGAGAACAGAGGTACGTTTGGTTTTATTGTCCGAGGCGGCGCAGAGTGACGGATCCTGCCGAGTGGAGGGAGGAATTTTATCCACTACCAGGGAGGAGCCAGGGGGTGGTCGATGGTGGCCTTGGCCCCCATAGATTAATCTTCAGCCACCCTCTGAAACAGTATAAAAACTTGAGCAGTTTCCTCAAATGATGGGGATGGCCTGTTTACACACAGACATATGGTCTTGGATTTTGACGTAGCAATCCAATTTTCGAAAGGCATCTTTCCTACGTCTAGATCAGGGCTATTCAACTGGCGGCCCGCGGGCCGGAGATGGCCCGGCCCACTTCATTAAAAAAATGATTATTATTTTTTTAGTTTCTGGGTTCTTTTTATTGTATTTATGATTCAATGCAATAAACTGAATTTAAAAGGTAACAGATCATTTTAAACTTTGCTTTAGTTACACAATGACTTTAATCGCTGGATGTCCGGCCCCCTGAGCTTTTGGCTTTCAGAAACTGTGGCCCCATGAGCAGTTTTGTTGAATAACCCTGGTCTAGATGTAGCCACATAACAAAACAGATGTCGGCACCTCACTTATTTTTCAAGTTAACATGCGCTCATGACATGCGTGGTCAGACTGCAGGTAGGTATTTTCAATTCCCTGTCTTGGCTCCTCGACGGGGGACAAACAAAGAGGTCATATCAGTTTATTTTAATGTATTTTTTGTGTGTGTTTTCCAACAAACTCATGAACCGGTGGAAGGATTTAAATAAAATTCTTGACGTGTTTATCAAACGTCTTCAGCTGATGAACGCTTGGAGTCAAGATGGCCGCCACAGCTGTAGTGCCATTATAAAACAGCTGCAGCTCAGTCAGTTTGACAGCTGTTGAGCTAAAGTCTGGCGTGGTAGTAGCAGGCGGTGTGTGTTTCTTGAACGTCCTTTATTAAAAGAAACATTAATGTTTAATATTTTAGGAGTGTTCAGCTGATGTTCCAGTGCAGCATTTTATCTTTTTTTTTTTAGAGTGCTGGGTGATTACTTCCTGTTCTGTTAAAGGGTTTTCTGTTCTGGCTCTGAAAAACCAACAAACCGATCTGCACACCCACACACCATCCGCATGACTGAACGACCCCAGTGTTGGTTAGAAATGAAGCCAGTCCAGACCTGGCCCATTTCTGTCGTTGGATGAAGAAAAAACGAGAAGCATCTCCTCTTTTGTGCTTTTTAAAAAAAAATTATTTATTTTTAATTTGCCTCCTTTTAGTTCCTCTGCCAAGTACGCCACCTTGTAGTTGGCTTGTTTATTGGCAGAATTCCTCCAAAAATTCAATTGATTAATTTACAACGACTAAATGAAGCTCTCCCTGGCTCCGTGCAGAAAGTGTTTAAACCCACTCACAGTCGGTCCAGCTCCAAAACTCATTAAAGTTTTGAAGTTTAAGGATTTTTGTTGATTGTAGAGGCCGGCTCCTTCATCGCCTGCTGCTGCTGAAAGATGCTTCTTGTTCAAACTCAGTCCGTTTTATAAACGTGGAGCTAAAATTTGGTGTGGTAGTAGCTGAGACTCATCCCTAATTCATGAGTTTAAACTTGATGTCATGAAATGCAGCAGTCTGTACGCGTTCCTTCAAGGGAAGCTAGTTCCGTATTTTTGTACTTTGCTGTTGTATTTGCTCGTGTTATGATTTTAGGTCTTTTTACTTCATTCTGGTTTTCACAGCATCGTTCGCCCTGTTTATACTGGTTCATCCCAAAGATCCAGTCCCCCAGCACAAACATAGTAATATTGTGTATGCTGTTCAGTGCCAGGCGGGCTGCGATCAGTCACAGTGATGGACAAAGTACTCAACTCTAGTACTTAAGTAAAAGTATTCATGGTCAAATCTTACTCAACTACAAGTAAAAGTTGCTCAGTCATAAGTTTACTCAAGTTAAAGTACTGAAGTACTTACTTTTGAAAATATTTAAGTATTCAAAAGTGCATGCATTAAAAATACTCAAGTATTCAAAGTACAAATTATATTGTAGCTCTCTGAAACCACCTGATGATGTGTTGACATGTAGAACTACTCTGCTACATGGCAACACCACGTGCCTTAATCAAACCTGTAAACCACAAATACCTTCCCTGCATTTTACAACAGAAATACTCAAGTAGTAAAGATACTCAGAAAATGTACTTAAGTACAGTACTCAAGTAAATGTACTTCGTTACTGTCCACCACTGGTACATCCAGGTATAGTACCATCGTCAGGCCAGGACTCTGGTTTACTGCAGGCCATCGGTGGATGAAGATGTTCACATCCTTGATGGAGAGGAACGTTGGTTTGAGAGAGGAGTGAAGGAAGAGAACCCGTCCATCGTTAAACAGGGGTGGAGACCTCCGGTTTCAACTGTCGACCTCTTCCATTGCTGTTATTGCTAGTATCACTCAGCCCTCTGTGAACAGCAAGCGGCATCAGGGCACTAACAATCTATTGTTAGACTGATGGTCCTCCTTTTGCATGTGAACAGCTAGTTCTGGATGTCGCCAGCAAACTGGTTGATCCACCATGAAAGGGGCTGTTTATAAGACTGAGTTTGTTGCAGCTCCTTAGACTGAAGAAGTCTTTTGGATAAAAGACAAAACGTTTCAATAAAGAATCCGTCCAGAGGACCTGACTTAACCTGGTTAGATTTTTCTACCTGGATTATTGAGCGTCAGGACAGCTGCATCAACAATATGTGGGTTTTATTCGCCTTCTAGACCTGTTGGAATACTTATATACTTTCAAATAACAGTATTACCTGAATAAACCATCATTCTTATAATTGATGTATTGTAACGAGCCTTCTTGATGTTGTCCTGACTTAATGTGACTGTTTGGAGACCAGTTTAGTTCAGTGTACGTCTGTTTTAAGTTGAACTAATATCATGTTTTACTTCAGGTTACCCAGGCGGTCATTCTGCACCCCCTTACCCAGCAGGGGGCTACCCAGACCCCGGTCAGGCCCCTCCTCCGGGCTTCAGCATGGCTTACAACCAGGGCCAACCTGTCATGTATCAGCCGGGCCCGATGGCTCCCAGTCCAGGACAGGGGCCGGAGTATGGCGGCCCACCCATGGGGATCTCGCCGGCACCTGCTGCTGTCCCCGTTGGGGTCCCACCAGGACTGGAGTACCTGACCCAGGTAAAAAAAAAAATTCCTTTTGAAATAAAAAATAAATAATCTTCTTTAGCTAACGGTTGCTTGAATCAGATTTATGCACATTTCTGTGATTTTGCACTCATTTCCACGTGTATAACAATCCATCTTCACTACAAACGGTAACTGAAGAGTCAGTTTAAATACTGAAGACGAACGTTTTTTATGAGCTCGGGTGAAAGAGCGTGGGGGTCCAGGTGAAACGATTTGCTTTGCAAATGATAAAACCTGCTTGTTTGTTTTTTTTCCTTGTAGAACAAAGAAAAGCTGTCAGATGGCAGAACGTTTTAAAAGTTGAAATGATCATAAAGTCTTTCTCTTGTGATTTATTCTTTTTATTTTTTTAGCTCGATCAGATCCTGATCCATCAAAAAGTTGAGCTCCTGGAAGGTAAAAACACACGGAAGCGGTTTGTCTTTATCGAGTCCTCGCAGTTCATTCACGGCCGCGCCTTGCTTTCCTCCCACCTCGCCCAGCGTTCATCGGCTTCGAGACCAACAACCAGTACGAGATCAAGAACAGCCTGGGCCAGAAGATCTACAAGGCCAAGGAGAAGAACGACTGCTGCACGAGGAACTGCTGCGGCTCGCTGCGCAGCTTCGACATGAAGATCAAGGACAACATGGACCGGGAAGTCATCCGCCTCATCCGGCCTTTCCGCTGCGTCTCCTGCTGGTGTCCCTGCTGCCTGCAAGAGGTCCGTCTCTGGGGGTTTGTCTGGTGGATGCTGGGTTGGAAATGAGCCATCAGCTTATTAATAACTTTGTATTGTCATATTGTACCACACCTGGTCAAATATCGCTCCTATCTATAAGCTCAAGTACTCTCTCCAGGTGTAAATGACTCGTTTTACTGTTTTCTCAGTGAGCGTCCGAGTTATTATTTAACTTCTCTGACTGATTAAGAGGTTTTATTGGAACCGATACGCTGCGATTAACCCTAAAACAGCTGATTGTGTTGTTTCCACTGGGTGGGGTTTGTTTGTTGAGTGTTACTACATGTGTTTGAAAGGTTATGAACCATTAATACACGGGTGTCCAAAGTGTGGCCCGTGGGCCATTTGCGGTCCTTGGAGTGATTTTTGAGCGGCCCACAACTGCAGTTTAAGAATGGTATCATTTTGACCAGTAGGCTTAAGTTGTCGATTTAGACTTGCTGTAAATTAGTTGGTAATCCTTTTTATATATAATGTTTAGGTTTAACAGCAAAAAGGATGAAAAACAATCTCAAAATGAGCAATATTAAGCAAAATACAAACCTTTGGCTATAATATTTTTATTTTCACTTCCTGGTACAAAGCACCAAAATCTTTACTGATTTCTACCAGAAAGGAGACTTTTGGATAATGATTCATAAAACTTTGCTAAATATTGCAGTTAATAAAATAATCAAGACATTTTAAAATGAATATAACACGGTATCATCTACATACGAGTTGATCAACTTTATCAAATCTTCTATGAATCTGTTGTAGCGACTGACAGCTGGACTATTTTTCAGAACTTCGATCAGCCTTTTGAGCCGTCCATGGTCCAAAAGGCTGATCGACCCCCTTTTAAAAGGACACTGTTGGATAAATTAATTATCCCATCATCATCTCTTTAATCAAATAAGCCACACTGAAAATGCGAGAAGATCTTTTCAACCCAGTTTTACTTGCATTTCTGCAGGAGTAACGTTGTAATTTGAAATTGACGGGAATGTAAAGGTTTATAAAACAGTGTATGCAAGAACTGTTAGGACTTTTTTCCAGATGTGCAGTTTTAAGACGACAGCAGTTCATCTTGTTCTTGGTCCAAACCATATTAGCTGTTAGATTGTCAGTCTTGTCAGATTAAACTCCGTTTCTTCAAAATGAGGTCGTCCAAAGAGCCGTCTACAACGAGGATGGTACTAATTGGTCGTACCCTTTCATACGAGACAAACTGTTTATCTGGCTCAGGTCTTTGTTTTTTCCTCTTGTTGCTGTGCTGCTGAGGGCGGCTTCATGTCCCTGCGCCCAGACAGCAGTTTGATCTGAGCATGAAAGGCCCTTTTGTCCAAACTGTCTCTTCACTCTGAAAACCTTCACTGGGACTGCTGTTTGTCCTCCCCTCGTGGAATCAAACTGTTAGCAGTCTGTTCCCCCCCAACCCGAGCCGGGCTCAGCACCGTTCTGGTTACAGCTCTGGCAGGAGCCATGTGAGCTCCGTTACCCTTGTTACACGGGACGGCAGGAACAACTGTAGCTCTGATCACTTGATCATGAACGTAGTACGTCCTACCACTTTGTGCATATTGTCTCTCTCCCCCCAGGATTAATTCAATTATGTCTGTCTGTCTGTGTCTAAACATAAGTAACTAAACATAACTAACTAACGGACTAAACATAACTAATTAATTAAACACAACTAACTAAACAAAATTAAATAAACATAACTAACTAAACATAACTAACTAAACTTTACTAAATATAACCAACTAACCATAACCAACCAAACATAAGTAAATACTAATCATAACTAAATATAATTAACTAACCAAACTTAACTACCAGTAAACACAACTAACTAACTAAACATAACTAAACATAACCAACTACGGTAAACATAACCAACTAAACATAACTAACTAAACGTAACTAAACATAACCAACTACGGTAAACATAACCAACTAAACGTAACTAACTAAACTTTACTAAACATAACCAACTAAACTAAACATAACCAACTAAACGTAACTAAACATAACCAACTAAACATAACTAACTAAACTTAACTAAACATAACCAACTACGGTAAACATAACCAACTAAATGTAACTAAACATAACCAACTAAACATAATCAACTAAACTAAACATAACCAACCAAACATAATTTAACTAAACTTTACTAAATATAACCAACTAACCATAACCAACCAAACATAACTAACTAAACTTAACTAAACATGACTAACTAAACTTAACTATACATAATCAACTAATCATAACTAACTAAATATAACTAACTAACCTTAACTCCAGACTGTGACCTTGTGGGGTTTGAATATAGCAGTCCGTGTCATGGAGGACCTTCTCCTTCTCTGTGTGTTTAATTGAATTCCGTGACCCAACAGATGGAGGTCCAGGCCCCACCGGGGACCACCGTCGGCTACGTCAAACAGGACTGGCACCCTTGCCTGCCCAAGTTTTCCATCCAGGGCCCAAACAAGGAGACTCTGATGAAACTGGATGGGCCCTGCTTCGCCTGTAACTGCTGTGGGGACGTCAACTTTGAGGTAAAACTCAGACCCGGGACGAGTTAATGGGCTTTCCAAGAGGAGCTTTGAGTGGCTGACTCTGCTCTGATCTCTCCAGTCAATTAGAAGCTTCATCCGGTCAAAATTCAATTTCTCCCACTAACGTGTCTCAAGTTACATTTCCTTTGGTTGTTGATGTGCCCCAGCACAGCTGGAAGGCTAGTTATACGGTCTCACTGGGACTTTGACGTCTATTCTGGGACAGACCCATTTATCATGATTATTTGGTTTAATATTGCAATAATATCGCGATACACGATATGTCTCAACATTTTAAAATCTACTCTAAATGGTTGTATAAACGTAAAATTTAACCTCATTAAGCATAAAATGCACGGTTTTGATGTTTCAATTACACCATTGTATTGAAATAGTTAACACCCTCCAAAAAAATAAGGAAAATTTGTATAAAATGCCTTGAAGCTTTTTTTAAAAGTACGTAGCTTTACCTTTTTAAAATTTAGTTATGAAAGTAGCATCATAAAAAATTGTCTGGACGTTAACTGAGCTAAACGTAATGTGCTTCAAATAGAAACTTTCGGAAGTTAACCCCAACGTTAAATATTTACCGGTAGTTTGAAACTTTTCAACTAAAGCAACACCATGGTGTGGACATTTGGCCACCTAGTGGCACGGCATGGTATTTCAGCATTTTTATTAGATTGTGAAAGGAAATAAAATCCAAACAAATAAAAGATATCCATTTTAAAGTCCTGGTGTAGTTAGTGGTCTAGGCCACTGTAGTGATGTATTGCCCACCCCCACAGTGCTTCCAGCGTTGGGTTGTGAAACACTGAAGTGAGGCGGAGTGAGGACATTGACAAATTTCAAATGTTTTCAACAATATTTGTACATCAATCTTCAATAGTTTGGGTCAAGAGTCTCTGTGGCTTTTTTAGTTTATGGGTCTAAAGCTGAAAACGTTTGGACCCATTGCCATAAAGCATAAAAAACACCAGTATGGTGATTTAAATCCATGTTGGGATTGGATTCTTCTAAACCAGGGCTGTCCAGTCCTGGTCCTTGAGGGCCACCGTCCTGCAGGTTTTAATTGTTCCTGCTCCAGCACACCTGATCCAATGATTGAATTATCGCTTCATGTCCTGCAGAAGCCCCTCAATCACCTATTGATTCAAACCAGATGTGTCGGAGCGGAGAAACATGTAAATCATGCAGGATGGTGGCCCTCAAGGGCCAGAGCTGGACACCCCTGAACTTTGCAATTCAGTTGAAGTTGTGCTATTTTGAACCAGGCCCAGAAGCTGTCGGGTCTTTGTGCGGCCTTGAATAAACTTGAGATTCAGCTAATCGAACCGTCTGTTGGTCTAATTTTGTGAATGTTTCTAAAACGTTCAAACTAAAGAGATCCATTTTTCTTCCAGATGTTTTTCATCATATAACTCGTTCCGCACTTTTTTTGCTATTTAAATATATATATTGTAAATTTTAGTATTTGTGCAATTTTTACTTTTTGAAATACTTAACTTTTTGGGCCTTGTTTTTCTTTTATTGAAAATGAACGGGTCCTTTAAACTCTTTCTGTCGTTTGAAACCTTTGTTCTGCTCATTTCAGCTTTGTTCAGCTTCTGTTAGCTGATTTCAGCTTCCCTCAGTGCCTTTGAGCTCGTTTCTGCTAATTTTAGCATTTTAATGCTTTTTTTTTTTGGTGATAATTTCAAATAATTTCAACTTTTTAATCCTCCCTTCAGCCTCTTTCAGCTAACGTCACCTTTTTTGTTGTTTAGCTTTTCAACTACTTTTTACTAATTGCAGCTTTTTTCTGCTCATTTCAGCTAGGGCTGGGCGATGTATCGAATATACTCGATGTATCGCGAGTTTTTCAATTCACGATGGTTAAAACGGCTCCATCGCAACCATCGAGTATTATTAGACTTGAAAATCTGTGTAGTTGTTTTTCTCCCGTCTGTGCTCATCTGCGTGGTCCCCCCTCCTCCCTCGCTGAATACAAACACAGCCCGTCACGTGCTGCTTCACACACGCTTACTAACGTCGTGACGGCGGCGCAGCTGAAGAGGATTGTTATTTAATATATGCAAAGTTTATTTTTTAGACATTTATTTTGTACATTACATTTGTTTGTTATTAAATGTGCCTGTGTGACAATTGGGACAAAGCTTTGACTCAGAAATATATTTTTCTTGTTACTTTATAAAAAAAAATAAAAAAAATATCACATATCGTGATTTATCTTTAAAAAATATCGCAATATATATTGTATATCGCGATTTATCTTAAAAAATATCGAGATAATAATTTTGGTCCATATCGCCCAGTCCCGATTTCAATTTCATTTAGCTAATTTTTTGTAACGTAATTCAGTCTCTTTCAGCTGTTTTTGTGCTTTCCTGCTTTAAGTAACTTGTCAGCTGCTCACATCAGCAGTTTAGCGATAGAACCTTTTCAGCAGCTTCCAGCTAAAATCAAGCTATAAGAGCCACTCTGTATTTTCACAGGAAATTACATTTCTTTAGTTTTTCCTAACAAGTTTTGCTGTTTTTTTTAAAAACTTTAATAAAAATGCGAGTGGACCCCCTCCACCTGACTGATACCTTGTGATCCACACACAGCTGAAGGGGAAGGATGAACAAGTCATCGGGCGCATCAGCAAGCAGTGGAGCGGCCTTCTGAAGGAGGTCTTCACTGACACGGACAACTTCGGCATCCAGTTCCCGCTGGACTTGGACGTGAAGATGAAGGCCGTCCTCATGGGCGCCTGCTTCCTCATCGTAAGTTTCCCGGACTCGGACCATTTTCTCCGCGCGCCGCGCCGTCGTCTCACTTCGTTTTTTGCTCTTTGTGCTGCAGGACTTCATGTTCTTCGAGAAGGTGGGCGAGGCCAACCAGCGCAGCTCCGTGTTTTCGTAACTGAAGGAAAAAAGAACAGGAGGGCGGGGGCGGCGACATGGACGGGCACGATCATCTGCTCGTCCTCCGTCTGTAGTTTTACGACCGTTCTTCTAGAATCCATTTACAGATCAGAAACAAGAAGTTTGAGCTAATTCTTTATTGGAAATCAGAGACGTATGCGTTGTAAATGTGCTTTCTGCTGCGTTGACGTTAACATTTCAACCTCACGCTGCTCATCTATTATCATTATCGATGTTTTCTAACCCTGTTCGACTTTATGAAGCCTTTATACCGCCTGTAGTGGAGTGCAGTATTGTTGTGAGTGTAGGAAACGTATTAATCTCTTCGTTTTTAAAGTTCTAGCTGAAGACCGCCGCTCACTTCTCTGCTCTCGTCCTCGGTTCTTTTGATCGTAAAGGTCGCAGACCCCTGGTTTGCTCTCCGTCCATAAACTTTCTCATGCGTCGCTCATAGCTTCTGACAAAATGTTGCGTACACTTTTCACAACCCCGGCTTCGAGGTCAAACATTATACCAGGTTTTTGCTCGTCTGGGCCATCGCTGTTGAACAGTTTGTCGACGGGCGTTTAACGTGCCGTGCTCTTATTGTCATTGATGCTTTTGGTAATCTCAGCTTCACCGAGCCGATAAAAGGAAACGTTTTTTTTTTTTGGTTTGTGGGAGAATAACGGGAAAATATGAAGAAGATGGTGCACGCAGACGCTACTTCCTAACCGCTACTTCCTAACCGCTACTTCCTAACCGCTA